AAAAGTCGTCAGTTTAAATCCTCCAGCCACTCCTTGGAAACACCATAGGGCAGTTCTGCTCTGCCCTGTAGGGTTGCTGTGAGTCGGAATCTGCTCAATGGCAGCGGGTTTGGTTTAATTTTTAATGGCTAATGAGGAGCCCTGCTGGCATGATGGTTAAGTGCTCAGCTGCTAACTGAAAGGTCAACAGTTCGAACCCACCAGTCACTCCACAGGAGAAAGATGTGGTAGTCTGCTTTTGTAAAGATTACAGACTTGAAAACCCTATGGGGCAATTTTACTCTGTCTTATAGGATCTCTATAAGTCCGAATCATGTCGATGGCAGTGTTTTTGGGTTTTTAATGGCTAACGACATTTATGACTGAGCTTTTGCATCTAATTTTTCTTTCCTTCAGTCAGCTGTGTGCATTACAACTACCAAATGTCTAAAACTCTTCAGGCTGGCTTCTTATTCTCACTAGAGTTGAAATCCAAATAACATAATTAACAAAGTCTTCCAGCCTCATCTCTTGTCACCATCTCTGTTACACCCTGAAGTTCCAGCCATGGAAGACTTCTTTCAACCTTTTTTCTTTGAACCTCTTTGTCTTTACTAGGAACATTCTGGCCATTTCTCTACCTGACTGTTCTTCTGACTCATTCTTCATTTATGAGTATAAATGACATTTTTTGTCAGGAAGCTTTCTCTGACACTCTCCCCACCCACTGTACACACTTATGCACACACAGACACACATGACACTCCAATCCATAGGATTCTGTAGTTCATTTTAATATAATTGCTTCTTTAGTTGTCAGTCTTCCACTGTAAACTATAAATTTAATGAGGACAGGAACCTTTCTTGGTGGTAAGCACTTACTGTATAGTAAGTGACTTGTTTTTCTGTGATATTGTGTGGATTAATTAATGATCACAAAGCATTTGGATTAGTATAATACTGTTGTTGTTGTTAGTTGCCATCAATTCACCTTCTACTTATTGTGACCTTATGTGTAACCATCTTCATAATTATTGGTATATTTGAGTCCATTGTTGTCAGGCCATCTCCTTGAGGATTTCCCTTGTTTTCTTTGGCCCTCTACTTTATCAAACGTGATGTTGTTTAGTAGCAATTGGTCTTTCCTTATGACGTGTTCAAAGTAAGTGAGTCAAAGTCTCACCATCGTTGCTTTTAAGGAACATTTTGGTTGTATTTCTTCTAAGACTGATTTGTTCATTCTTCTGGAAGTCCATGGTATATTCAGTATTCTTCACCAATGCCACAATTCGAAAGCAACAATTCTTCTTTCTTCCCTTTTTCATTGTCCAGCTTTTACATGCATACGAGGTGATTGAAAGACCATGGCTTGGGTCAGGCACACTTTTGTTCTCAAAGTGACATCTTTCCTTTTTAACACTTTAAAGAATTCTTTTGCAGCAGATTTGCCCAATGCGATATGTTGCTTGAGTTCTTGACTGCTGCTGCCATGGGTGTTGATTGTTGATCCAAGTAAAATGAAATCGTACTTGACAACTTCAGTTTTTTCTCCATTCATCACGATGTTATTTATTGGACCAATTGTGAGGATTTTTGTTTTCTTCAAGTTCAGGTGTAGTCTTTGGAGCTGTAGTCTTTGACCTTCATCACTAAGTGCTTCAAGTTGTCTTCATTTTCAGCAAGCAAGGTTGTGTTATCTGCATATCGCAAGTTGTTAATGAGTCTTCCTCCAATCCTGATGCCACTTTCTTTATATAGCCCGGCTTCTTGGATTATTTGTTCAACATGTTGTTGTTGTTAGGTGTCGTCAAGTCGGTTAGCACTCATAACGATCACAAATACAACAGAACGAAACACTGCTGGGTCCTGCGCCATCCTTACAATTATTGCTGTTTGAGCTCATTGTTGCAGCTACTGTGTCAATCCATCTCATTGAGGGTCTCCTCTTTTTCACCGACCCTCTACTTTACCAAGCATGATGTCCTTCTCTAGGGACTGATCCCTCCTGATAACATGGCCAAAGTACATGAGACAAAGTCTCGTCATCCTCACTTCTAAGAAGCATTGTGGCTGTACTTCTTCCAAAACAGAGTTGTTCGTTCTTCTGGCAGTCCATGGTATACTCAGTATTCTGTATGAGCTGATGGAAAATACCATGACTTGGGTCAGGTGCACTTTACTTCTCAAAGTGACATCTTTGATTTTCAGCACTTTAGAGAGATCTTTAATTGCTCAGCATACGATTGAATAAGTAAGGTGAAAGAATAAAACCATGCCGCACACCTTTCCAATTTTAAATCCTCTTATTCCACTCAAAGGACTGCCTCTTGATCCATGCACAGGTTCCACATGAGCATTATAAAGTGTCCTGGAATTTCCATTCTTCATAACGTTATCCATAATTTGTTATGATCCATGCAGTCAAATACCTTCACATGGTCAGTAAAACCCAGGTGAACATCTTTGAACTTCTGGCAGTTCCTGGTTGATGTATGGCTGTAAGTCATTTTTGATACTAAAGGAGATAAAATGAAAGAACAAAACAAAATCCTTTCACTTGCCTGCATATTGTTTTGTATCTCTTTGCTAGTACCATCAACAGGTTTTGAGGTTTTTTTTTAATGTTTGTGATTTGAGGAGCGTAGAGCTGAGGTGGCAAATTTCCATAGTTTGTCTAATAACCTATTTGTGAAAAGACAAGCACTTCACTAATTACTGTACTGATCATACATTTAAGTCTCAAATTCCACTTTTAACCATTTAGTTGACACAATTGCCAGAGGGAGTGGAATAACCAAAAATAAATTTATTCAGCAGCTACAAGGGAAAATTCAGTCCACTTTTGTGAATGAGGAAGTCAGACCTATTGGATGAAATGATCTTTTCTTTTGTTTTTATTCTATTTAAGGAATATTTAAAAGGCAAAATATATCCAGTTTAGAATTAAGTAGAGGTTCACAATTTGTTTTCTTCATAGAATTTCATCTTACATATTTTCTATCATTTGTAACAAATAATTATTGTATTATTATCTAATTAGAGAGAAGGCTTCTCCTCATTTCTCAGGTTTTAAGTTTATCTTGGCTCCAAAGCATGTTGAGTATGTGACATCACATAGAAGAATAGACATCCTGTAGGGCTGTTAACCTTAAAATGAAAAACCTTTCAGTGTTTACAGAATGTAGTTGATATGTAATAATACCACACTATGCTGTGAAATGGTGATAACTGGAGAATAACAAGCCAATGAGCACTTCCCATTCTTACGTCTTAAATAGTATCCTTTGCTACCTCATTTACTTACGGACTCAAAAAGCCTTGAGATAGCTGTCTTAATGTTTGATTTCATTTCATAGGCAGAAAAACCGAAGTGTGTCCGGTTATAATCAGTTTAGTATTTTAAAACCTTTGTTTTTAAGCTACACCAGGGTTCAACAAACGATGGCACACAGGCCAAATCCAGTCTGCTGCTTATTTCTTCATGGCCTGTGAACTAAAAATGGTTTTACATTTCCTAATGGTTGGAAAAAAAATAAAAAGAAGAATATATCGTAACAGATGAAAATTATATGAAATTCCAATTTCAGTATTTTATTTTTAGTAAAATGAGGTTTTATTGGAACACCAAACCAAAACACCAAACCCACCGTTGTCAAGTTGATTCCAACTCATAGTGACCCTATAGGACAGAGCAGAAATGCCCATAGGGTTTCCAAGGCTGTAAATCTTTATGGAAGCCGACTGCCACGTCTTTCTCCTACAGAGTGGCTGGTGGGTTCAAACCACCGACCTTTCGGTTAGCAGCCAAACGCTTTAACCACTGCACCACCAGGGCTCCTTTATTGGAACATAGCCATGCTCATTTGTTTATTTATTTTCTATGACTATGTTTGTGCTACAACAGCAGAGTTGAGTCATTGCAACAGAGATTATATATCCCGCCAAGCCTAAAACGTTTATTATCCTGGCCTTTACAGAAAGTGTTTGGCAACTCCTGAGCTGCACCAGTGTGTTCATGTGATTTTAGTACCTTACATTAGCTTTCCCAATTTAAGTCCAATTTAGGGATCTAATGAAGTCATGCTGAATAAAGTTCTTCAAACTTTTGGAAAGGTGAAGGAAACTGAACTAGGTATTGGTTGAAGTTTATACTTTAAGAAAGGTTCTCACTTTCATTTTTTAAATAAGTACTTATATAGTGGTTATAATTTATCAGACACTATTTGAAGGCTTTATAACTTTTCTAAATCTTTATAACCTTATAAGGTTGATATCTCTACTCTACTTGAGAGAAAATTACATATCAGAGAGCTTAAGTTACTTGTGCTCAGTTATGCCATGATTTGAATGTAGTCATCTAGTTATTAACCACCATGTTATGCTGCCTCTCCATTCATACTCTTGCTTATTTACAAAAGCCTTGGGTTAATAGTAGAATTTCATAATATAGTTTAAGCCCAGAAACCCTACGTGAAAAGTGAAAAACTGTACCAAGAATTTCCAGTGCTCTGTTCCTTCTTTTTTGGTGATAATTCTGTGCTAGATTATATTCTATCTGGTGTATTGTTCTCAATTCCGGCCTTTTTCCTGCCTTCCTTTGGCTCTTTGTTCATGATTCACTTTTAAGGCTGGGTTTAATTCTGGACATTTTTTTCCTGGAGTGTTCTATGAGATTTATTTTTTAAGGAACATTTTCTCAACCGTTATTATAACCTATAAGAAGATTAGTTTGCCTTCATTCTTGTGACTTTTTAATAATTGATTCAGAAGCTAGCTTTGGTGTGCTGGTAATTGAGTTCTGGTAGTTTCCTCGTAAGGATCTTATGTATCCACCCCTACTGGGTTTGTAAGTAAGGTTCTATATGTAGTGATCGTTACTGTTATTTTTTTCTGTTAAAATACCAGATTTTGAGAATTGCAGAGCTGCCACAATTCCAGATCTGGGAGCTTCTATTTTCTTTTGAAATAATAGAGTAATTGGTCCAATTATGTCAATCCATTTTCTTTTGTTTCTTTTACAGGGTGCCCGGGAAACATTTGAGAACTACTACAGAAAACAGAGGCGAAAACAAGCTCGTTTGGTGCTCCAGCCTCCATCCAACATGGTAGGATTACCACTTCCATTTTTCTCAAGCCCTTTTGCCCAAGGATATACTGACATCTTTTTATTATTTTGCGCATGTTCTGTTTGTTTGTTTGTTTGTTTTACTGTTAAACTGAGACCAGTTTTGGTGGATGTGACTTGCTAGAAAATATCAGCTAACATCTGTTGATTACTATGTGTCATATGTTGTTCTAAGTACTGGATCTGTATTGTCTCATTTCATCCTCATTACAACCATGAAAATAGGTAGTATTATATGAACCTTATAGTCTAGGGGACAGAGCCTTAAGAATTAAGTAACTGGTTTTAACTTTGTCTTAATGTAACAAAACAGAAATAATAACTTTTTTTTTCTTTGCTTTGTTGCAGCATGAAACTTTAGATGGCTACAGGAAGTATTTCAATCAAATTGTAGGGTAGGTATATATATATGTGTGTGTGTATATATATATATATAAATGTATTTACTTTCATTAGGTAGATTTGTGACACTTGGAAAATTAAATCGAATTTTTCTTGGGAAATTCTTTTTCTTTTTTAAATCCTTAAAATGATAAGATTTATTTTTTATTTTCTGAGGATTTCAAATAAACTTTCTATTGGCTTTAACAATATATTATTGGCTAATACTTTTTGTGAATAAAGGGAGAAAAATGTTGAGTTGTAATCTTATAATACTTGTTTTTTTTTCCCTTTCTTGATAAGAGGGAACCAGACAATCTGCAAAAGTTGGCAAAAATTTTTTTATAAAGGGTCAGATAGTAAATGTTTTAGGCTTTGGGGACCAAACAGCCTCTGTTGCAACTATTCAACTATGTTGTTGTTGCACCAAAGCAGCCACAGATAATACCTAAGTGAATGATCATGGATGTATTCTAGTAAAACGTTATTTACAAAAACATGGGCCAGATTTGTCCCATGGGCTGTAATTTGCCATTCTGGTCTAGAGTATATTCTAGTATGGGGTTGTAGTTCCCAAATATAAGCAGCTTTTTCTCGGGGTAAAATAATTACTTTGTAGTTAAAAGAAAGGAAATTAAGTTGGATTATTCCTTCAAGTTACTTTCTTTTCTTTCAGATTTAGGTTATTTCAATGTAATTGATAATTTTGGTTAAAATATATAATAAAATCCTTTATTTAAAGAGTTATTTTAATTAACATGAACACTTATGCAAAATAGCTGAAGATAGCCACAGTGGAATATTTAAAAATAAGTTAGCTTTTTTTTTTTTTTTTTAAACTCCTGTAAAGTACTTTTCAACACATGGATGAGTCCTTTTGAAGGGAATTATTTTGATATTTTATGTGTTGCATTATTAAAAATGCATACTTTAGCTTTCATTGTCTCTTTAAAATCTATTAATTTGTTGAATGTATTGCTGAGCTGAGTATTTTTAATATACTGAAATTAGCCATCTTTACCTATAAATATTTTTGTCCTTTTAAATTGTTAGATAATATGGGTAACATTTAATAGAAATGTATAACTTCAGTTTAAGAAGATATCATGAGCAGGGACATAATTCTAAGTGCAAGAAGTCTGATATTGTTTGTGATAGCAAACAGCTTTCTTTAAGAAAAAATTGACAACTTTTTAAACTTTGAATTTGTTGGTAGCTCTTAACGTTTATCAGACCCTGGAGATAGTAGTCAGACTCTGTAATTTCTGACAGACGTGCTTTCTTTTTTCCTCTATCTCAGATTTTTTGTGGTTGAAGATCACATTTTACATACAACCCAAGGCTTAGTAAATAGAGCCTACATCGATGAACTATGGGAAATGGCACTTTCAAAAACCATCGCAGCACTCCGTACTCACTCGGTATGTAAGAAGCTCAAGAGAAGTTCTTACTTAAAGCTGATACCTATATACTAGTCAGTATTAAATATGTATTGTTTGGAATCACCCATTTAGCTGTTGCCTGCAAAGACATATGGGAGTAGCCCCTTCCAATTGCCATGTTCTCTAACAGTGAATCCATTTTTGTGGATGTTCTTTGCAGTAAGAAAACAAAACTAACATCTATTGATTGCACTCTGTGTGTTAGACATTGTTCTGTGTATTTCATATGTCATCATTTCTGCAACTGTGTAAGGTAGATACTATTATTATATTTGGAGCCCTGGTGGTGCAGTGGTTAAGAGCTATAGCTGCTAACCAAAAGTTTTGGCAGTTCGAATCTACCAGCTGCTCCTGGGAAGTCCTATGGAGCAGTTCTTCTCTGTCCTATAGGGTCACTGTGAATCTGAATTGACTCGACAGCAACTTGTTTGGTTTTTTGTTTATTATTATATTTACTTTATAGTCCAGGGAGTTGAGCCTCAGAGAAATTAAGTAACCAGCCTGAAGTCACACAATAAGTGGTAGAGTTTGGATTTAAACCCAGGCAGTCTGACTTCTAAGCCCATCTTCATAGCCACTACTCCATATTGCTTTCTACAGTGACTCTCAATTCTGTAAACACTGACTTGAGGTTCACAGTTCTACTCTTACTTTTTGGGGGAAAAAAAAATGTTTCTGTCATATCATTAAGTTGCCTAATTTTGAATTCCCATGGTCTATTGACATATTTTATTATAGCATGATTTTTTGATAATTCATTTCAGGTAGAGTATACTGACTCTGAATCAATTATTTTTTCATTTATTAGGTAAATGTTTCTTGAGTGCGGATTGTGTTGTCAGTGGGGATACAACAATGAACAATATGATGGATAAATAGTTCTTTATATATTCTGAATATCAAATCCTTACCAGATATGTGATTTTGAAATATTTTCTCCCATACTGTAGGTTGACTTTTTACTATCTTGATAATGCCTTTGATACATAAAACCTTTTAATTTTGAATAAGTCCTGCTTATCTATTTTTTTCCTTTGTTTGCTCATGCTTTTGGTGTTGTATCTAAGAATCCATTGCCAAATCCAAGGTCATAAAGATTTACTTCTGTGTTTTCTTCTAAGGGTTTTATGATTTCAGCTCTTACATTTAGGTCATTGATCCAATTGAATTAATTTTTGTATATGGTGAGAAGTAGGGGCACAAATTCATTCTTTCTCACGTGGAAAGTCACTTGTCCTGGCACCATTTGTTGAAGACATTATTCTTTCCCTGTTGAATGGACTTGTCAAGCTTGTTAAAAATCAAAAGGCCATAGATGTATAGATTTATTTCTGGACTCTCAAATCTATTTCTATTTGTCCATATGTCTATCCCTGTACTAGTATGACACTGTTTTGAATACTGTAGCTCTGTAGTAAGTTTTGAAATCGGGAAAGGTGAGTCCTCTAACTTTGCTCTTTTTCAAGATTCTTTTGGCTATTTGTGGCCCCTTGTAATTCCATATGGATTTGAGAATTAGCTTTTCCATTTCTGCAAAAAAATATTGTTAGAATTTTGAGAGGAATTGCATTGAATCTGTAGATTGCCTTGGGTAATATTAACATCTTCACAGTATTAAGTCTTTCAATTCATGATCGTGAGATATCTTTCCACTTATCTAGGTCTTTAATTTTTCAGCAGTGTTTTGTGGTTTTCAGTGTACAAGTCCTTCACCTGTTAAATTTATTCCTAAATATTTTATTGTTTTAGATGTTATTGTAAATGAAATTGCTTTCTTAATGTCTTTATCAGATTGTTTATTGCTAATGTATAGAAATAAAACTTATTTTTATGTAATGGTTTTGTATTTGCAACTCTGTAAATTCATTCATTAGCTCTACTAGCTTTCTTTTAAGAAGCCCTGGTAGCACAATAGTTAATCAATTGACTGCTAACCGAAAGGTCGGCAGTTCGATCCTACCCAGGTGCTTTGTGGTAGAAAAGACCTGGTGATCTGCCCCTGTAAAGACTACAGTCTAGAAAACCCTGCCAAGCAGTTCTACTCTGTCATATAGGGTCGCTATGAGCTGGAATTGAGTCGACAGCACACAACAACAGCAACAGCTTTCTTACAGATTCTTTGGGATTCTCTATCTATAATCATGTCATCTGCCAGTAGAGAAGCTTTTATTTTTTCTATTCCAATTTAGATGCTTTTTATTTCTCTTTCTTGCTAATTGCTCTGGTTAGAACTTCCAGGACAATGTCGAATAGCAATGGTGAAAAAGGACATCTTTGTCTTGCCCCTGATCTTAGGGGGAAAATTTTTGGTCTTTCTCCATTGAATATGATGTTAGCTGTGGGTTTTTCATAAACGCCCTTTATCATGTTGAGGAATTTTCCTCAGTTTTTTTTTTAATCCTAAAAGGGTGTTAGATTCTGTCAAATGACTTTTCTGTATCAATTGAGATGATCTTGTGGATTTTTTCCCTTTCATTTTATTAATGTATAATCCTTTTAATATGCTGTTGGATTCTGTTTGCTAGTATTTTGTTGAGAACTTTTACACCTGTATCTATTTTTCTATCTTTCTGTCTGTCTATCTCTCTATCTACTTATCTCCCTCCCTCTCTCAACAATACTATTTTGCCCCAGGAGGCTACAGGTTGACCATTTGCCTTAACAGTGTTTTTGAGCAATGCCTACTGCTTTTCAGTCTTGAGTTAGTTCTGAATTGGCAAAACAGAAGCAGTCATCTTGTGTCAGTCCTTCAGGTAGCCACTATACAGGTGGGAACAGAAAAAAGCAATAATTTTCAAATAAACTCTGCTCTGCTTCTTACAGAACCAGGAACCAGGGTTCCATGCTGGATATGCAGAATTGCCCTCCTCAAGCTGGTTGCTGAGCCAGGGATGGAGGGTGGGGCGGTGGTGCATGTAAAACAGCCACAAACTCTTCTGTTGTTTTAGGTTGCCTTTTTAGTCAGCTTTCTTTTAGTTTTTGTAAACCTTTGACTGTTTTCCAGAGTTCTGACAAAGTTGCTTCTGACAGTTTCTTCTTGTTTTTCATTGTTTTTATGAGAGGGAAAGAGCTTGGAGTTGTCTGCTCCATTTTGCTAACATAACTCTAGTACTGCTTTTTAACAGAGTGATTCATCTGCCCTGCCCACTTACAAAGAGCCTATAGTCAGTCTGTTGGGAAACAGACTTACAAATGAAAAGGAGGACACCCATATTCATTCTAATCAACCTAGTCTTTTATTCAAATACATGAACAAACATCTAAGAATCATAAAATATTTGAGTAAAACCAATTGCATGGAATAGAAAACAAAGATAAATAGAATAGCTGTTCTCTAGCAAATACAAATTCATGGACTAGGAGGAAATTTTATAAAGTAACAATCATTTCTTATTTTAGGAATATAGAAGGCTTGATTTGGCTGGAAACAACTAAAATATTGTGCTATATATGTGCTATAATATGATATGGTATGATTTGTGTGTGTGTGTATGTATGTGTGTCTATATGTATGTGTATGTATATATGTATGTATGTATGTATGTATGTATATATATCATATATATATATGATATTCCTCAAACCTTAAAGTATCTAGTAAGGATAGTAAGGAAGTATTGGGCCAAATTGAAAGGTAAACAAAAATCAAGAGAGATAGGCTAAACACTCAAGCTGCCTTTGTCTTGAGATCACTTGTTAGTCCAGACAACTTGAACTTTGATTTTGACAGCACTTTGGGCCCACCCAAGGTGGAGAGTCTAATTTGGTGCCTCCTACATTTAGCTGGATAGGACTATTCTTTTCAGAATGTCTGAACCAGAAGTAAAAGAAATAGAAGTCAAAATTCTTCCCTCAAAGTAATATCTAGGTCCTAGCAGTTTTATCTTCAATTCCTATCTTACATAAACTCTCAGAGAATAAAAAAGAGGAAACACTCATCAGCTCATTTTATGAAGCATGTGTAATCTTGATACTGAAACTAGATGAGGATAGTATAAAAACTCATAAATTCACAATTGTAGGTCAGGTTCATTCATATAGATCAAAAATCCTAAACAAAATATTAGAAAACAGAATCCAGCAATTTATTAAAAAATGATACTATGTCAAGTTGAGTTCATACTAGCAAATTGAGGCTTGAGTCAATATTACAAAATCTATTAATGTAACCACCACATTAACAGGTTAAAAGACAAAAATGATATAATTTGAATAGAAACAGAAAAGCATTTAATACAATACAACATACATTTATGATAACATCTCTTAATAAATTAGAAACAGAAGAAATCTTCCTTAAATTGATACAAGGTATCCTCAAAAACCTATGGCAAATATTATATTGAATTTTCACCACTTGTGTTTTATATTGGAAATCCTCTCCAGTGTTGTAAGGGCAGAAAAATAAATACATGAAAAGCATAAAACTTTGAAAGGATGAAACAAAACTATCATTTTTGAAGGTAATATGATTTTGCACATTGAAAATCCAAAGGAATTTACAGAAAAATTGTTACAATTAATGAAGAATTTAACACGTTTCCGATATATAAAATCATTATACAAAACCAATTATATTTCTGAAAACCAGGAATAAAAGTTGAAAAATTAAAAAAATTTAAAATATAAAATTTATACAATAGCATAAATATAGTTAGGAATATATCAAACAAAAGACGTTCAAATTCTTCATAAAGAAAATTCTAAAATGTTGTTGAGAGATTAAATTGAATTAAAGAGCACACAAATAAAATTGAGAGATATGCCATGTTTGTTGGTTGGAAGAGTTATTGTAAAGATAATGATTCTGTCAAAATTCATCTGTAGATTTAATTCAATGCCAGTCAGAATCCAAGAGTTGTATTTTTAGGGGGATAGGCACTTAACAACCTGATTATAATATTTCTAAGGCAGTACAACGGCCAAGAACAGCTAAGATACTCCTGAAGACTGAGAATTAGGTACCAGATATCGAGACTTAATTTAAAAATCATACTAATCTAAGACACTCTGATATTGGTGCTGGATAGATAATGGAACAGAATAAAGGGCCCATAAATAGTTCTACATGTATATGGATCCTTGATATTTATATAAAAGTGGTGGCATTGTGAATCAGTGGGTAGAGGACAGACTTTTCAATGAATAGTACTGGGACAATTGACTATCCCTATGAGAGAAAGCATATACCAAAAAGCAAGTTTCAGGTCAATAAATATCAAAACGTAAAAGGCAAAACCATAAATCTTTTAGAGATGATATAAAAAAATACCTGCATGACTTGGGAAACGGCAGGAATTCTTAACTAAGATATAAAAATACATTAATCCTAAAGGAAAAGCTTCATACGTTAAACTGCATTAAAACTGTAGGAATTATTTATCAAAAGATAGTGAAAAAATAAGCCACATATTGGAAAAAGATATTTGCAATGCATGTAACCAGCAAATAACTAAATAGAATATAAAAACCCTACAAATTATTATGATAAAGACAGAAATCCCAATAGAAAAATGAGTAAAAGACTTAAACAGGTACTTTACAAAACAAGAAATCTACCTGTCTGAGAAACATCTGAAAAGGTGCTCAACCTCCTTAGTATATCAGTCATATCAGTGAAATGCAAACAAAAACCAAATGAGGTAACATTATGCACATGGTTGGCAAGAATTAACCATACCAGTGTTGATAAAGATATAGAACAATAGAAGCTCTCATACACTACTAAGAATATGAGTTTAAATTGGTAAAACCCTTTCAGAAACAGTTTGGCATTATTGTGTAAAACTGAAGAGCCCCATGAGCCAGAAAGTCTATTTCTAGCTATATTCTCTGTAGAAACTTGCCCTAGTGCACCATAATACACATGTGAGAATATCCATTCCTGCATTGTTGTATTTTCAAAATTAGAAATGACTCAAATGTCTGTCGGTATTAAAATGGATAAACTATGGTAAACTCATAGTAGGGAATACTCTGTAGCAATGTAAACTTACCAGCTATACACAATAGCATGGATAATTTTCACAAATGTGATGTTGAATGAAAGCAGCAAGACAGAAATGATACATACAATTGATTTCCATTTATACAGTGTTGAGGAAGAAAATATTAAGACTGAATATTTAGGAGGTTAAAAAGTAAGGAAATACATGAAAATGATTATCACAAAAAGTCAGGTTATTGTTTTTCTGAGAAGGAAAGGAATTGTGATTAGAGCAACTAGAAGCTTTTGGCAAGCTGGTGATGTCTGGTTGGTTGGCCTAGTATAGTACATATAGGTTTTATTAGTTTTTCTATATCTATGCTATGTTCACAGTTTTTTAAAAATGTAGGAAAAAGAGGGAATAAAGGACGCAGGCTAAGAAAGGGTAGGAATCCAAGATAAAAATTGCTTTCCTGGAAAATTATGAGTATCAGAATAAAAAAATTCAATTCAAAAATCTTAATAATTAAATGGATAAGACTGCACATCTTTCTTTGTAATCAAGAAGATAAACTCAAATATGTGTCCTAAAGACACAAAGAGATGGAAAATATGAAAGAATTAAGAAACATAGATTACTGATATAGACTACTGAATGTATCTAATAGCTATTTGGAAACGAAGGACAGTGAAAAAGGAGAATTTAATTATTAAAGAAAAAAAAGAAGAAAATTTTCCTGAAGGGAAGGAAGACTATATTCTTAAAGTTGAAAGGATGCATTGAGTGTCAGGCAGGGTGAATTACAGGAGACAATTTTTTCATGTCTAAAATTTTATATTCTAGTTTGAAGAAAGATATTTTCAAATGTGAGAACTCACAATTTGCTCTTTACTCGTCTTTTTTTTTTACAAAAAGATTCTTCTTGATGTACTCCAAAGAATGAAAAAGAAATCCAAGATACAGGGTGGGATGTGATTAAATAAAATATATGCATAAATCAGTGAAACTCCTAGATAAATCTACATAATTCCTTGCTATTTGATTATTTGTAAAGTTTAATTCTGCTAAGAATTCCTTCAAAAGGAGAGGCATAATGTTAAAAAAAATTTGTGAATGAAGATTCCACATGATTTCAACAAAACATGGGAAGTGTGAGTAGAAAGGATATAGCTTATAAGATAATTAAAAAGAACTGATCCAATAAAAACAGAAAAAGAAATAAAAAAAATAGAAGTAAAAAGAAACAAGAAATCATTGTAATTAGTAAACTTAAGATGGCAGGAGTAGGTCCGCATATGTCCAAAAAATGCCAAAGAGTTAAAAAAATTTACAGTTTGGTTACTAGGTGATATACCAAAACTAAGATTACATCAAAAAGTTTGCAAATAAAGAGAGGAAAGCAGAAATGACAATAGCGTACAAGGCAAGTAGAATTCAAGTTGAGCATTCAGTAGGAAAAAAAGAGGAATATTTTGTATTGATACTAGTTTTAACACACTAAAAAGACAATCAATAGCTCTGTTACAGGGAACAAGGAAGCATCAATATTTATAAAGCAAAAACTTAGTCATAAGGAGAGAAACTGAGGAACCACATCATTGTGGAAGAATTCAGCACATCGCTGTCAGGAATTGACAGCCAAGCAGACAGCAAATAACAAAATTACAGTTGAGAGAATTTAAATATCAAATCAATGTACTTAATTGATTGTGACATATACACCTTTGTATCCTACCCACAGAGTCTATATTCCATGTCATTTAAGTCTTCAAATTTGTCAGTATGATGTTGTACATGGACTTTATTTGTAATTTTTATTTTCCTCTACATTTATGAGTATTTTCTCTCTCTTATTCCTTGTGTTGTTCAGTTTGTTTTTTTTTTCTCTTTATTGTTTAATTAGACTTACCAGAGATTTTATTTTCAACTTCGGCTTTTGGTTTAATTGAGCAAATCTTTAAAGTTTCTGATTTTAATTTCATTTGCTCACTTATTTATGGTGTATTTTGTTATTCTTTTCCTAGCGTCGTAAGTTAATGCTTACTTTGTTTATTTTCAATGTTTAGTGTTTTCTAATATTTTCATGTAATGGTACAAGATTTATATTGAAAATGGCTTTAGCCATATACTGTAGGTTTTGATATGAAGTATTTCATTGTTCATTTAAAAATAACCTACAATATCAATTTGAGTTTCTTCTTTAACCAAAGAGATTTTTAGAAGTGTGTGTTTTAATTTCCAAGTATTAAAAATGTAGATCATGGTATAGTGAACTCTTTCTACCTTTGTTTTTCCTTGGCTGAACCTGGTTTTACCTTATACCAGGGAAGAATGGGACTCTTTCTAGGGTATCTTCACCAGGTGAAGCATTAAACAATTAAATACATCAAAGTTTAGTTTTATTTTTAATCATTAAGATGTTTTTTCTCCCTTGTGTTTTATTTCCTTTAGTCTTACTGCTCTGATCCAAACCTCGTGTTAGATTTGAAGAACCTCATTGTGCTTTTTGCTGACACACTTCAGGTATGTGGCACCTGTTTACTTACACTCATCTAGCTTAGTAGTTCATAGCTCTAAATCTTTTTCAATGGCTACCTAAGCTTGGGTAAGGACATTTTAGTTTTCAGTTATGTTTCTTCTTTTCCTACAGCTAGATATTTTTATTTCTTTATAGCATTTCCTGGTTTTCACCCTGACCCTTTATGTTCTCATAAATAGTTCTCACCCTCTTTTTTCTCTCAGATCACATCAGTTCATTGAATCACAAACTGCCTTAGTTTTTCAAGGTGTTTTTCGTTTAGATACAGTGCCTGAGTGACTTTGGAGTTTCTTAATTTCTATCTTGATGCAAAACCAAAAAAACCCATTGCCAATGAGTTGACTCCAACTCACAGCCACCCTGTAGGACAGAGTAGAATTGCCCTATGGGGTTTCCAAGGCTGTAATCTTTATGGAAGCCGACTGCCACATGTTTCTCCTGTAGAGTCCCTGGTGGGTTCAAACTGGTGACCTTCTGGTTAGCGGCCAAGCGCTTTACCCACTGCACCTAGGGCTCCTTCCATCTTAAAGAACCATTTATTATACCCAAGAGAATAGCATTAGGAATGGTAGAGATTGGTAGCATTTTCACTTTCTTTTCCAGCTTCTGAAGAGCTGTAGGGAGAACTTAGCTGACAGTATACCCAGTATATATTGATTTTAATTTTCATCTTTGCTTTTTTTTTCTTCCTGACCAAACATTTTGGTATATCTTTTAATTTTTGAGATAAAGACTAGATATTAGGTTGAATGAAAGATTCCACCGTCGTGGTCTCATTTAAATTATTGACCAAAGAGCAAACTAGTCTTTCAGCACTTAATCTTCCTAATGTTACTAAAAAAGTCTCCTTAGAAAATAAAACTATTTTCTTATTTTGTTTCAGGTATATGGTTTTCCTGTAAATCAGCTTTTTGACATGCTGTTAGAAATCAGAGACCAGTATAGTGAAACTCTGCTAAAGAAGTGGGCAGGTATTTTCAGGTAAAAAATTATTTATAGTCATATGTATGTGTACATACCCATTTGTGTACATGCTGTGTTTATGCACAAGGTTTTCCAGATGTAATAAGCAAAAAGTGTATGTGGCTTATGTTTTCTAGCTTCTCCAGGTTATGATCCAGAATTCCAGTAAATTTCAGTGACATCCAAAATAAAGTTCCCAAGAAAGCCAATCTCAGTGTATTACTGTCTACAATGCCTTCAAACCCAAATTCTTTGGCTCATACTGCCCAGATCATCTTGTGTCTTCTTATTCTGTTTTTTGGTTTTCTCTTTGAGGATCATGCCTAGTCCATGGCTCATTTATAAGGTAGTGGCATTTGAGCCCTGATAAATAACATATGTTTTTCTTGAACCTTCTTTGAGGGCTCACTCATATGATTTCTTATCTTTCTTCTTTCTACACGTGGTGAAGCGGACTTTTAAAGTCCAATGTATGAAGCATATTATTTAAGTAGTTGTTGAAACATGCACACAATAATATGAAAGTTATTCTCTTACACCTCCAACTCATAAATGTCTCCTTGTACTGTTTGCTTGGCACGCATTCCATATCAATTCATTTGAGTTGCTTTTCTTTCAAATATGTACTCCTTTACCTAAAGCCATCTCCCTGCTTACTGCAAGACCTCTTCCCCTGATCAGCATACTGTTTTTAGATTCTTATAGCTTTAAGATCTTACACTGTTCTTTTAATCTTACTTTTCACAGTTTATAAACACATCCCTGACCTTCACTTATACCTACTCATTTGTGTATTAATATAATCATTTGCATTTCTAAAACCCAGGTTTATCTAGTGGTATGGTTATATTTAGAGGCGGCTTATCTCTACAGGAAGCTTGAAAGTTAATGACATTATATATTCATAGTCTTCTGGTGCTTCTGATCTGATGCCTTCAGTGAGTTTCTCTTCTCATGTTGCTAGTATCGTCTCTGCTTTTAGAAAACTCCCAATCTGCTTAAGGAGGGAGAACATATAGATGAAAAAATTAATGATTAATAGAAAGTAGTAGATAAAAAATGCAAATGAACATAAAATTTTATTATAGACATTACTAGTACAGGAATAAAGAACATAATCATATTTTATTTTTTTAAGAATATCTCTTTGCCTTTTCCAGAGCACACTTTTTTTTGTTGTTTACCTCTTACTTGCCTTAAGTCTTTGACATGTTGCTGTACTGCTCAGAAATTTTCTGTCCCATCTGTAAATTTCAAATACTAGGAGATCTCTTTATAATTGCATTCCATTTGTTTCAGATTGTAGTTTTCTTTCTGTCTTCCTAAAGAGGGCCTCACTTGAAACCAAATAGCTTTTTTGTAGAGAGAATAGAATAGGGACTGAGAACATTAATTTTTGATTGTGATATATGTACAACCAATGGACTTCATATGAAAATTATTTGTAATTTGTTACAGTGATTACCTCTTCATTCTTCCTTTTCTTTATAGAAACATACTTGATTCTGACAACTACAGTCCTATACCAGTAACAAGTGAAGATATGTATAAAAAGGTGGTAGGACAATTCCCATTCCAAGATATAGAGATGGAAAAGGTAAGCAGTACTTTAAAATATACTTCTCTGGTCATTTTGCATCTTGTAAAAGCTTTTATTGGATCCATCTGTCTCATCAAAAGCATTACCTCCAACTCAGTGGTCTTAAACTCTAGAACATCTTCAAAAGACTCTCTTTGTAGCTTAGAACAAAAGTTCCTGATTTGGGAATCAGTAGATGACTTTGGGATTCTATCACCTCTGAAGAATTTGGAGGATTACAAGGGTTTCCCCATTTGGTCTTCACTTTGAAATATTTAATTTTATCACACTCTTAAGACATTTTCTCCCAAAAACATATGGTAAAATTTACCCATTTTGGTACTGTTGGTTTTGACAGTACATTCAGTTGTGTATCCATTACCACAATAATGATACAAAACCGTTCTATCCTAAAAAATTCCCTCGCAGTGCCACTCTGTAATCAACCCTTCCCCAAGCTCCCTGCTCTGGGAACCATTGATCTGGTCTCTGTTCATCTATGTTTACCTTTTCTAGAATGCCATATAAATGGAATTATACAGTATGTAACTTTATGAGACTGACTTCTTTCCCTCAGCATCATGCTTTACATTCATCCAAGTTGTTACATGTATCAGTAGTTTGTTCCTTTTTTATTGTTGTTTATGTACCACAATTTGTTTCTTTCTTCCTGTGGAAGGGCATTTGGGTTATTATTTTATTTAAATTTATGTCTTATTCTTTTTAGTGTCAGGAAACTTTCAGAGACACTATCTTAAATTTGAGGTTGTTAAGCAGATAGTTCTTAATGAGGAAGAAAGTTTCTTTTGCATTTTAATTAACTTATAAGTATATAGGGTTGCTATGAGTTGGAATCGACTCAACGGCAGTGGGTTTTGGTTTATTTTCAATGTGTGTTTCCTTATGACTTGGTTTCTTTAATTCTTGCATTTACAGCAGGCATTTCCAAAAAAGTTTCCGTTCTCTGAATTTGTGCCAAAAGTTTACAACCAAATTAAAGAATTTATCTACGCCTGTCTGAAATTTTCAGAGGATCTTCATCTAAGGTATAGTATGAAACGGTGGAAATGCAACCAGTGCTGAGATTGTGACTCTATAATACATAGATATTCTGAAAAACTTTGGATATTCGCTTAGCTCTGATTTTGCAAGTATTAGCCCTTCATAGTATGGCACAGCTGTATTTATACAGTCATGGTGAAAGGGAAAGTTGAAATCTTTTTAGTATTTTGTGTGTGTATGTTAATATTACCTATCTTATTCTTTACTATTTTCTTTCCAGATTTGCTGTTTAGCCCTTTCTATTAGTGAAAATTCACTAGCAAAGGGTACTATAACTTATACTAGTTTAAACATTCTACTTGAGGAAACAGTAAAAGAGTAATAGGGAAATTCTTATGGAAACATCTTTCTTATAAAATACTCTCTGGACTTGTTTAAAGGCATTCATATATCCTTTCATTTAAGATTAAGTATTCAACAAACATATACTGAACTTACGTATAAGATGCATCCTGCTTACTGGGAACAGCAGTAAAAGACACAGTTCTTTACCCTCAGATAGTCTCAGTATCTACATCTACTGGTGATAATATACACATTGTGCTGAGCTTCTTGGATCTGTGGGTTGAGATCTTTCATCAGGTTTGGAAATGTATTTATCAATATCTCCTTAAATATTTCCCGTTTTTCATTCTCTCTTCTTCTGAGACTCCTATCCGCTTGACAGATCATTCAAATCACATCACTAGTTGAGCAAGCCGAGTCTGGGCTTCATTTTTAAGAAGTTTCAAATTACTTACGATTTCAGATGCTATTGCAGAAATCTCTTCATTTAAGACTAACTCTGAAATTCCAAAGCTTTAACTGAGGGGCTTATCTCTCTGGACTTAACAGGATTTGAGATGGGTTGGGCTTTAGCTTTACTTAGTTTTTTCTCCCCTTTGGATTCAATTTCAGTAGAGGTATGGAACCTAAGCTCATTGCAGAATTTACAGATCTTTCTCTGATTTCTAGCACTGCTTCCACCATTGCTTATAGAGTAGAATTCTTGTGGGGGAGAATTGCTGGGTTAATACATTTATTTTTATTTGAGGGCTCTTCCAGATTCCAATCTGTCATGCAAGTCCTCACTGTTAAAGATTTGCCCAGTTCCAGCAAAGCCTTTCAGCCTGCAACTGGCTCAGTCCTTCACCCATCTGTACCCAGATTAGTCAGTTGGCCCCAGTTATGAATGTGACCACAGCTTTTTCTCATCTTTTAAGTTCTTGTCCCCTTGTGGGAGTTAGTTCAGTTATACTTCTTTGTGTTGATTGTTCTTCAGTGGCATTGAAGAAAAATATTACTTTTATTTTACACCTTGCTTTTTTGTTGTTGTAGTGAAGGTAGTGATGTTTTTTTCTGATCTACATCGTAACCAAAAGTGGAACTCCCACTTAATCTTCTTAAAGCGTAATATAGAGATAAGTACTGTGAATAAGTGCAGGGTGCCATGAGAGTGATTTTAACATCAGGGCCAACAAGACTATTTTGGTTAGCTTTTTTCATCAACATTATATATATCCAAAATTTTTTCATGACCCCGAACAGAAACTCAGTACCTCCTAAGCCACCATTCTCCCCAACTCCTGGTATCCACTAATACATCTTTGTCTCTATTCATTTGCCTATTCTAGATATTTCATAGAAGAGGGGTCATACAATATTTGTCCTTTTGTGTCTGACTTATTTCACTTAGCATAATGTTTTCAAGGTTTATCTATCCATGTGGTAGCATGTATGAGAACTTCATTTCTCTTTATAACTGATTAATAACATTCCACTGTATGAATATACCACATTTTGTTTATCCGTTCATCTGTTGATGGACGCTTGGATTGTTTCCACCTTTTGACTGTTGTGAATAATGCCGCAATGAACATTGGTGTACCCAGGCTACTTTGGGCACCTGTATTAATCACTTTCATAGCAACATGTACTTATTCATAGCTCATACCACAATTGATATTATGTGATTATGAGTTTAATATGTGAGGGCAGGAACCATAAGTATTTTGTTCATCATTGTGATCTCACTGTTTTGGCAAACACAATGTTCAGCATATGGTAGGTCTTCTGTATATTTGTTGAATGAAGTATTTCAATTCAATAAAAATTTAGGAAAGGGTAGCAGCAGTGGGAGGAGGCGCTGGTCGGTTAAATATGTCTTTGTTTGGAAGTTTCCATAAAAATATTTCGACATTTCCTTTTTTTTCTAACTGATTATATTCTATAGTTTTATTTATTCCTAATAATTTTTCTCTTTTCCACATAGCATGATAATGTAGCTTGCCCATGTATTTAGAATTTTAATATTTTTAATCAGATTGTGCAAAGCCTGTGATTGTGTTCTATAGAAAGAGAAATCAATGAGAAAATTTGTGACTACTGTCTGCAAGTAATACATTATTGACATAGAACTGTTCACACACATTTATTTACCATTGTTTCCTGATGTTTATCCATAAGTATCATTACGATAGTAACCTTATCTTTGAAGAAATATTTGTTCCACAGAGCTTTCTTTTACAGAAATCCATTTTGGGTGATGCTTTCAGGGGCTCATGGAGAATGTAGAGGTCTAGAATTTAGTCTGATGGTTGTAAGACTGTTTTCTTTTTTAAAATTTGCAAATAAAGATAGCTACTGGGTGTCATTTTATTTATGTTTAGTTTCCTTTCCTAAACAGAAAATGTTGTGATTGATCACTTTTGGGATAGTAAGGATTATAACATTCATGCAGAATTAAACCACTGGCTTGGAACATTTATGTTAGCATGAGAAGCTAAATAGACATTGTATGAAAGACGACAATACAGGAGCAGAGATATATTTTCTTAAGGACCCTCATCAGTTAATTGTGCAAGAATTCTACAGAGAGACCTAGTTGGCAAATTATAAATATTAACAATCTGTGAAGGAAGTTAGAAGTATAGGTAGTCTCAGATTTATGACAGGGTTCCGTTCTGATGACTTGGTCATAAGTTGAATACCTCATTTTTTGTTTTTTTGTTTTAGTTTTTATTAATGTTGCCTTTTATTATCAGTATCTTTATAAATCCAATCTTTATCCTTGGGGGTTGGAACTAAACTTACAGATATATTTTAATACATACATACAAAAATACACAAATCATAAAAGTTTACTCCAAGATGAAGAAGAGTTGGATGACATTGGCATTTTGTCAGTTATGGTAATAACTTCACTTGTGGAAGGTTCTGAATCATCTGGATTATCCCTGGGAATGGGGATGGCATTTCTAGTCAGAAAGTTAGTGAGAATTGTCTGAATGGTCCTTTTCTTTTTCTCATCTTCATATATTTCACAGTAACATCTGATTACTTCCTGAATCTGCCTATGGACTTATATCAAAGTGATCAGCATTTGGGTTCATGTTTTCAAGCAACTAAAGCTCCTGATTTAGTTTAGAAAAAACTTTATCTAATCCTTTCACTATAAAATTTTTTGACAACTTCTTTCCTTCCTCTTTCCCATTTGTAAGTAAATGTTTGAGAATAATAACAGCAAATTACCTGCTGCAACATTTTACGTAGCACATATTACGAACTATAAGATGTACCAAAAAAAAAAAAGAGGTCGTAAGTGCAGTTCATTGAAACTAGAATACGTCATAAGTCAGGGACTACCTGTATGGGAGAAATAATGCTTGCAGGATGAGAAATCATGCTGGGGAACTCTTATTTACCCTGGGAGACAGCACAACATACTGTTTAGTGCTATGGGCTTTAAAACTAGATTGCCTGGGTTAAGATTATTTTCTTGCTCTGTACTCACTGTGTGACTTTCAACAAGTTACTTCTCTGTCCCTTCATTTCCTCATCAGTAAAGTGGAGAAAACAATAAAACCTACTTCATATGATTATTGGGAAGATTAAATGAGTTTAATACATTAAAGTACTTAGAATAATTCCTGACACACAATGAGTGGTATTTATAGCTGCCGCTGTTCTCCTTTTTCTCTTCTTCCTCCTTCCCCTCCTCATTATCATTATTATTATTATTACAAGTACTTGTGTGTTTGCCAGAATAATTCTGCTACCTGGTATGCCTGACTTTTAACTCTTCACATTTCTTTTTCAGTTCAACTGAAGTTGATGACATGATTCGTAAATCTACAAACCTGTTACTGACCAGGACTCTGAGCAACTCTCTACAGAATGTCATTAAAAGGAAGAATATTGGACTTACTGAGGTAAAGCTTCTCTCACTGGAGGGAGCCAAGGCAATATGTTAACAGAGATCGTAAATTCTGGGCCTTGTGTATAAATTAACTATACCTTTTTACATAGTCCATTGTGCTCTTCCTAATGGGCCGCGAATGGTGAAAGGGTAAAACGAAATCTCTTGTTTTTTCTTCAATCACTTTTGAGAAATCTGTTACTTTTTCTAAAATGTCACTTTTTTTCCTCTCATTGTTTTCATTAGCTTCACTAGTTTTCTAGAGTTGTTAGGATGAATTTGTATTACTTGCCATTGATTAGATTTTTAAAAATTGGTTAGAGAATATTGTCAACATCAGGTTCCTCTCCAAACGAATGGCAGTTCAAATATAATATAGTCTATGAAACCACATTTTGCCAAGGATAATGGCACTCACAGTCTTTGATAAGTGTCTTAGTCATCTAGTGCTGCTATGACAGACATAACCACAAGTGGATGGCTTTAACAAAGAGAAATTTATTCTCTCACAGTCTAGGAGTCTAGAAGTCCAAATTCAGGGTGCCAGCTCCAGGGGAAGGCTTTTTCTCTCTGTCAGCTCTGGGGGAAGGTTCTTGTCGTCAATCTTGTCCTGGACTAGGAGCTTCTCAGCACAGAGACCCCGGGTCCAAAGGACACATTACTCTTCTGGCTCTTGTTTCTTGGTGGTATGAGGTCCCCATGTCTCTCTGATGGCTTCTCTCTTTTATATCTCGAAAGAGATTGACTTAAGACACAACCTAATCTTGTAGATTGAGTCCTGCCTCATTAACATAACTGCCAATAATCCCACCTCATTAACATCATAGAGGTAGAATTTACAATACATAGGAAAAAAAGGTCACATCAGATGACAAAATGGTGGGCAGTCACACAATACTGGGAATCACGGCCTGGCCGAGTTGACATGTATTTTTTGGGAACACAATTCAATCCATGACAGTTAGTGTCACTAGACTCAGCTTTTGTTTTGTAGATTATCTCACATGAATGGCAAATTATTTTTTATCAGCATGAGATCTGTTTGGCAGAGGGACTGGAGATTTGGGATTGAGGAAATGTGAGAGAAAGGCAATATAGTAAGTTTCTTAGGAAGTCTTTGCAGTCTCACAAAGCGGGAGGGATACCATACATATGTTGAGAACAATATCTTGGCACACAGAAGTTTGACCCATTGGCATGTAGTCCTAAACTTTAGAAAGATATGTAATTTCCTTTCTCTTAGAAACCCAGAATTATAGGGTAGCCTCAACCTGCTTTCTGTTGGAAATTATAGTGCCAAATATGAATGCTTAGAGAAATTTTATTCACAGGGAAAAGGAAAGACTGTTGGCCGTATGTTTTACCTGTAGAGGTGGTTATTTGAACGTCAGTTGCCTCTGGGGAAAATAGACATTTTGAATATGCACTGTTGTCTTAGTCATCTAGGGCTGCCGTAACAGAGATACCAAAAGTGGATGGCTTTAACAAGGAGAAGTTTATTCTCTCACAGTCCAGTAGGCTACAAGTCCAAATTCAGGGTGTCAGCTCCAAGGGAACGCTTTTTTTCTCGTCTCTGGAGGAAGGTCCATGTCATCAATCTTCCCATGGTCTGGGAGCATCTCAGTGCAGGAACCTCAGGTCCAAAGGACAGGCTTTGCTCCTGGCACTGCTTTCTTGGCGGTGTGAGGTTCCCATGTGTCTCTGTTTGCTTCTCTCTTTTATATCTCAACAGAGATTGGGTTAAGACACTATCCAATCTTGTAGACATCATCAGTATAACTTCATCATAGTGATAGAGTTTACAACACATAAGGAAATCACATTAGATTACACAATCATACAATACTGGGAATCATGACCTAGCCAAGTTGACAGATATTTTTGGGGGACACAATTCAATCCAAGACAACTGTCAAGGACTATGGTGAAATTCAACAAATGATTAATGACACTGGTCCATAGACAAAGACAGCTGGAAGCCAGGTGTGTATCTACTTCTGATTTGGGGAGTGATTTTCTTTCTCTAAAAAAAGATTTAAAAAGATGATAAGGTGAGACATTGGCTGTGATTGAACTTTACTTGTAACAACCTTTTTTTTTTCAATTGAAAGGTACCTCAGACATTAGTTAGAACAGTCCCCTCATTTTGCAGAGCTTCCCTTCCATTGCCTCGTATAGAAATATTATGTATTGCTTTTATGTATGTGAAAATTAGGCTAATTTCTTTGCACAATCAGGAAGACTACCGAAAAAGAAAGTTGAAGTAAAAATTAGAATGTCCTTCTCCTTTTGTTGGATTATACTATTCTTCCTTTTGAATCCCATCTAGGATAGCAAGTTTTTTAATTTGTTTCTTGAACTATCTCTTCATTATAAGTGTTGATGCAGCTCTTTTTTTTTAAATTTTTTTTATTGTCGTAATTAAATGAAGTTTACATTTCAAGTTAGTCTCCTATACAGAAATTTTTCTTTTTTTTTGCATACATTGTTATGAGACCCCAACTGCTCACCCCATTCTGGCTAGGAGCTTCTCAGCACAGGGACCCCAGGTCTAAAGGACACATTACTCTTCTGGCTCTTGTTTCTTGGTGGTATAAGGTCCCCATGTCTCTCTGCTGGCTTCTCTCTTTTATATCTCGAAAGAGATTGACTTAAGACACAACCTAATCTTGTGTCCACCCCTCCACCCCTGATTCCCCATGAACATTCAACCAGCTCCTAAC